CGACCAGCGCTTCTTCTTGTAGATTGGTGGCTGCCCAAGTTGAGCACGTAGTTCATCAACTTGCTTCTAGAGGCGTCTCTCAGCCTTCTGTGATGCACACAGCTCTCCCTTGACTTTTTCATCCACCCCCTGCATGACATGGACATGCTGCACTGTTGCTTCTAGAGTTGGGTCACTCTCTGGTGGTGCTAAGACCTACCAAACACCATCATGATCATTGCGAGGAAGGAATCTAAAACGATCCTCCTTCTTGGCCTCAAAGCGACGACCATGGTAGTAGATGTAGGCGTCCTGTGCTGCATCTTCCATGCCATCCAATGCATGGGCCCTCCTGGTAGTGGCACGGTGGACAGTCTCCACCTCATGTCCATTCTTTATATCATTCCATGCGGTGACAACCAGTTCTACCTTCCAAAAGGTTGCCTCCAAAGGATACTGGTACTCTACACAATGATAGCTGATGGAGGCGTGCAGATCGGGGTAGTAGTCATCCAGCACATGGGTAAGGACGATGTGGTAGTAGGCCGTCTTAGGGGCGGGCTTGAAGTAATACTTGCACTTCCAGCCTATCTCCTCATCCACCACAGGGACAACTGGGGATGGCACAGGTGTAGGTGAAGTAGCTGATGACTCCTCGGGTGTAGCTACAGCAGGATAGACCGGTGCAACAGCTAGAGTAGGAGCAGGTGCAGGCGTCGGGGTAGCCATCTCCTCATCGTCGGAGATGATCACAATCTCCTTCTCCACCTGTGGAGCACGTGGGGTGAACAAGGCACGGTAGCCAGCAGTGCTGAGGCGGGCAGTCTTCGGGTTACGAGACATCTATAGATTTAGAATAAGATAGAATTAGAATTAACAATTTTATATAATAGATTAAGGTATGAATAGCATAAATATTTTAATAAAATAACAAGAATGAGACAGTAAGCATGAAACCAAAGGAGCAAACATGCTAAAACGACCATTTCTAACTAGGCTTGCGTCCTACAGTCAACACGACTCTGATACCAATTTGTCACACCCAATTTTAAGGATAAAATTGAATGCACTAAACTCATGTGTGCCCAGGGATCAATCACATACACAAGTTGACAAATTGTAAAAAGTATTATCATAGTGTATCTTACATCACGATTAATAACAACATATAGTCTTACACAACACAGCGGAAGATAAAATTATAACTCTCTCGTGGAACTCCATCACAGGGAAGGTCAACTGGTTGACCACAAGCCTAATAATCCTCAGGAAACTCCTCATACACGTTGTCATCTGTTACCCATCCGGGGTTTTTATCCAAATATAGAAAGTAAACAAGCGTAAGTACATCCCGTACTCAACAAGATAACATAGGGTTTATGAGGCTCAAAAAGGATGACACTGGTTTACTACTGTTAGCACTTTTAGTAAGTCAAGATTTTATCATCAGTGATCGTCAAGTTATGCTTAAGCTCCCATTTAAACCCACTTAATCAGATATCAGCATCATTTGGATCATATCATCATAAACCATCATAAATGAACAACAATGAGTAACCAATTATTCTGTGAGTTTTTCGGGCCGCTCGTGACCATGAGCACGGCTGTTATAACAGTTTGTAACCCTCTGTAGAGGTGGCGCACATTCACCGCGAGTCGTGATTCCCATATGCCCGGGTTAATTACTCCCATATCACTGCCAAGGTGAGCGAGCAGGGTACACTATGAAGCAATTTCATAGGTTTCTCTAGCAAGTTAGGGCCGCTAGGTTTCCTCGATAGGCAGATGTAGAAACCCCCCTTTCCTATGGCACATATCCATCGCGGCTATACACATAGGAACAGAGGCAGTTCTATACCCAACGTGGCAAGCCCCTCTTGCACCATAAAGGTAACCTCTAACAAGCTAGAAAAGGTCCTATTACTGAGCTAAAGTCAGAGCCATATGACTCTCACGGTTGCACTGTCAGTCCTAGCTTTTGTCGACAGATAAGTCCTTATGGAGGGCCGAGAGCAACATGATCAAAAGTCATTTGCACCTTCGCCCTATGGATCAGTTGTTATAAATCATGTTTTACTTTTATTTCCATAGATCCATTAACCATTGTATAGATCATGTTCAGTTAGAGCACTAGCAATCTACCCATATGCAATTAACCCAAAGGAGTCAAGGGAACATGGCATCAAATAACTAGGATGTCCTTAAGGTTATCAAATTTAGACACATGCACATGAGTAAATGATTAAAGTGAATAGGACATCAAGGTAGGCCCATGCTATACTTGCCTTGGTTCACAAACTCCTGTTGATCCTGCTGGTCGTCGAAGAACTCTTGGTCTCCAACTTCTTCTCACCGTCTGAACACGACCAACACGGCAACACACAACATTCTAGGAACATTCATGCAAAGCAAACAATCCTACAGTTAGAACAGTACACCAACAGTATAGAAAACAAGATAGAATGTTTATGAAAAGAATCTACGTCTTGCTACGATCACGTCAACGCGAAGTTCACGAAAATCGGAGCTAAAACGCGAAAGTTATGAATTAAACGGGTTTTCCTATAGCACTTTATTTAATTAACCCTAACCATGAAATTTAAAAGTTGCAAACTTGATTAACAGTGATACTAACACGTAGATTATGAAATTACGAAGCTAACGAAATTTGAACGAGTCAATTCGGAGTAAAACAAAGTTTTTATGAGCAAAATAAATCTAATGGCATTTCTGTAAATACTGAAAACGTATTTTGGACTAAAATAGTGCACTTTACGTTTTCAAAATGAGAAAGCGTACTCTAGAAACTACGCTAGGGACGGCGGGTTCAATTCATCCGAAACCGAGGGACTCTTAAGCAAAACTGCCAGGGCGAAAGGGTATCGGCCATTCTAGGCCATCGATCAATCAAGGGATGGCCTGGATTAGAGAAGGGAAGAGAGAGAGAGGGAGACGCCGGCCAGAACAGTGGCCCGACGGTGGCGCTGCCATGGCCGACGGCAAGGACCTCGCCGACGCACGGGAAACAAGGCCTAGAAGCCTCGGTTTTCGCATCCGAGAACACCGAGGGATAGAGGGGGTGAAGGAGACCTCGGCCAGGCCGAGAATGGGGCCGGTGGAAGCGGTTGGCGCGGTGGTCGCCATGGCCGGCGGCCGAAGCACACGGGCGCACGCGGCAAAGGCTCTAGAAGCCTCAAAACTCGAATTAAATGGCATGGGGAGATAGAGGGGAACAAGGCGAAGCTCACCGCGACTTCAATCGGGGACGAACGCGACTCGGGGACGGTGGTTCGCGCGGAGGAGCGGACGGCGGATCCCGGCGATCCTCGACGCGGCGGTTTTCGGCGTCCACGGCTCGTGCGAGTGCGAAATGGGAGCGGGGATAGGCAGCAGGGGTGCGCGCGGGGTCACGGCACCCTTTTTGTAGAGGCCGGGCGCGGGGCGACGCGCCCACGATGCCAGGAGCGGGCGGCGGTTGCGGCTCGCGCGACAGTTGCGTTAGGATGGAGATGGCGCCGACAGGTGGGGCCAGGCGGTCAGCGGCTGGGCGCGGGGAGCAGGCGCGCGGCAACGGTTAGGCACGCGGTGCTAGGCCGGCGCGTTGGCTGGGCCGTGCAGTTGCGGCCGAGCTGGGCTGCTGGGAAGAAAGGGCCTGCGGGCCGAAACTGAGGAAGGGAGGGAAGGGAAAGGAAATTTCTTTTTCTTTTTATTTTCTAGAGTTTTTCAAAAGTATTTTTTTTCAAATGGATTTGAATTCTTGTTTTCAAATTTGGTCAAACCAATCATCCCAAGAATGAATATGCAGCAACATGTATGCATCAAGAGGTTACTAACCTTGTAATTGATTTTAATTCCATAAAACTATTATTTCCCTAGGTTCAATGCTCACAAAAATTGCTTAAATAAATTAATTTGGCTATTTTAAAAAAATGAAATTTTCCAGGGTGTGACAACAACATCATTTCTTGAGAGCCAAATAGATCAACAGAAAAGTTGCTGCCATATTATAGTAATAAAAACTTGTTTTTTTTTCCTTCCTATTTATATCAACCACCAAAAAAATTAGCACAGGGACTTCTCCATATTCAAAGGTGGAGTGATACCAAACACAATATGTAATGCCCACCAAAAAAATTAGCATAACAACAATGTTGAATAGCCTTCGTGTCATACAGAAACAACATTGAGTGGATCCATGCAAATCCCTTCTAGCTAAGTTATCTTTTGTCAATATCACTCTCTTTTTGAGAAACCACATAATATTTTAGTTTTCAAGGCAACTTTCATCTTCCTAACTTCTTGTGAGACCTTGGTGCTACTATTAATTGGGTATCGATATATATATTATTGACCAAACCATGAAAAAAATTGTCCTTATTGAAGACTAAGTGGTGGTATATTTTCCATCCTCCACAAGGCGTGCAACTATATTAAAAAGCTACGAAATCTATTTTTAAGAGGCTAGTTCTCTAACCATTTATCTCCATAGAACCTGAGTTGGGTACCATTCCCTAACTTGAATTTTACTCGCGGTTCATGAATTAGTCATTCACCTCCATTAACCATGTCCAAAATTGAGAATCTTCTCGTTTTTACTTGCTTGGGTAAAAATCTATTCTTTAGATATTTATTTATCAGTAAGTTTTGCCAAACTCCCCTCTTGTTAAACAGTTTGAAAAAACACTTACTCAGTAGACATTTGTTTTTGAATGTCTAGATTTTATAACCCCGAACTGCATTGCTCCTTCGGTTGGCAGGCTAAGTTCTATTCTGCTAATATATATTTCTTTTCATGTTGATTGTTATGCCAGAAGAACCCTAGACCAGACCTGAAATATTTTATATTCTTGAGAAGCCCTCTAGGTATACAAACTACAAAGAAAAAAGGAATAAACATAGGTAGATTTGACGTAACCATAGGTACTTAGAAAAGTCAAAATGTCTTGTAATTTAGAATGAAGAGAGTAGCAATCTAGGAAGGATTAAATGATTCCAAACAAAAAATATGTGAGATGGCATGATTACCTGTCGATGGCACTATGGCAGGGCCTCTGCTTCTGGTGCTGCCATTCTTGGAGGAACAAGAAAACAACACAGGCCAGTCCAGTTGCTTGAAACAGCAGTATCAGAAGGACATCTTGGTTGATCCACCAAGACAGTGTATCTGAAGAAATTATTAAGGATCAGAGAGGCATTGAGATGAGCAGTAATACGCTCTAGTCTATGGAGTACAGAAATCTAACTCAAATCGGCAGAACAAAAAACAGGACAGGGTTGTGTAGATAGCTCGATCGGGATCTAACGGGATTCAAAGGGAGACATCGCTTACACCCGGAACGGAAGATGAAATTGTAATATTGGTAGTGGATCTTGCGCACGTCCTCTGCCCTGCGCTGCTGCACCTCTTGGAAGCTGACGCTGCAGGCACCACCGTCGACCACGGCCACGGCCTGCATGAGGTACGGGCAGAGGCGCTGCGCCTCCCGGAAGGCCAGCGCGACGCAGGCGCCACAGTCCGGCGAGCTCGCGCCTGGCCGCCAGTAGCAGTACGCTGACGCCGTGACCTGGTCGGGGCGGCGGCCGGCGACGCTGCCGGCAGAGCAGTTGCAGGGGCTGGCGTTCACCTCGGCGGCAACGGTGGTGGCGAGCCGCCGTAGGTTGGCCTCGTAGGCGCTGCCAGGCGCGTACCTCCTGCCCTGCGTGCCGCACATGTGACCGGGCCGGAGGATCAGGCGACGGTCGACGACGGGCTCGACAGTGTTGGCTGCCAGCACCGGCAGTAGTACCGCCGCCGCCAGCGCGACGAGCGCCACGGCGCGAGGCATGACCGGAGGAAGACAGCGGCTTTTTTGTTCGATTATTACCAAATGAATGCTGCTCTAAATCTGGCAATTAAGCAAAGCATGGTGGATTAGTTGAGATGAGCTCAGAGAGTCGTTGCTGACGTAGTTGATTACTAACTCTCCCCCCTCTCAAGTCAGGTATATGGCTGTCAAGCACATGTACACCTGGGTTATGCTCCCGATCATCTTGGAATTGACCATTGACACTTTCAGTCTGCACTGCCCATGTGAGAGTTGTGAGGTCCTTGAGGCCATCATTTCAAACCAAAGAAGGTTTTTAATGGACTTGTAATCAGACGGAGCGTTACCCGAAATGATAAGATAATACTCTTAGACTGCATATAATGTATATCTCCATTAAGCAAAACTTGATGTTTCAGACAAGACAAAAATCATCGTTTGAAGAAACAAGTTTACTGACTATAGGTACTAGTACGTTATTGTTGTCTTACCTGTGCACAAGCATTACCTGTTCGCTTGGCTGATAAGTCATGGTTGAAAATACTGTTGACTGATTTATTATGAGAGAAATATATTGTTCGTTGGCTGAAAAAGTATAGTTTATAAGTCAAAGCATAAGTTGGATTTGGCTGCCCGAATTCGCATAAAGAGATAGAGCTTCATTTGGGGGGAAAGATATTTTGACACGAGTACCTGACTTGAAGTCATAGCTCGATTTGGAAAAATGTATTTTGACATGGGTAGCATTACCCTTATTTTTTGCAATTTGACCCTTTGCAATAGGTCACGGCGCCAAGGTAGGAGGTCCGGAATGATATGGCTGGCCATGTGGCGCTGACGTGGTCATAGCCCAACGCCACGGTTCGACGTGTCATGGCGCCGAGCTACTAACCATGTTGTTGCACGCGCCCCAATAGAGAGGAGAGGCGCAACAGTGTTTTGGCTTGTTTTTTCAGCGAAGCGAACGGGCCCAAGAGGGTTAAGATTTCTTGGTCTTTGTGAAAATTTCTTATGTGCCTCTAAAATTAGAACGGAGGGAGTATTATTTACTGTTAAGAGTAGAGAGAGCGAGACAGATCGATCGATGCAAAATGATGTCGGTGTATTGCATTGAACAGTGTTGTACATATATATATACAGAGTCCATGTGTGCAGTTACAAGTGTAAAAGAGATAAAGGGGTCAAAAGACACCTCTTGGGATTATTCCCTAATTGATCATACCTGTGTTACACAATTATTCTACATATTTTTTTCTCCTTATTTTAGCTACTCCTTCATTGAAAAATGAGGTCTATATTTAAATCAAGTCAATTCTTTATAAAATCAACTAAATTTATAAAAATTTAGGTGCACAGACCAAGAAGAGATTAATTGTGAGTTAAGTCTTCTCGTTTAGGTGCCCCAGCAATTTACTCTGCTTACTCACCGCTAAACTGCTCAACCCCCTCCCTGCGTGGCTGCATGCAAAGCCATTCAGGTGCAAAAGGCGTTCCCGAACCGGCCGCTGCATGCAGTTTTTGCGATTCTCCAAAGTAAAGCAAGCAGATCAAAATACATATGCAGTTACAGAATCGGTATATTATTAATATGTACATGTTATGCTCTAAGCTTAAATGTGAACATGATAGGTGGGACCCACATTTTGGTAAATTTCTTTTTATAAAATATAGTCAATATTGGTCTTGATTTGTAGATAGAATTGTAAGGAGAACAGAGGTTCAATCAGATTATGAATTAAATATATGGTTTAATAACTATGGTGATCTAAAAATTCTTTCTTAATAAAAAGGAGTTACGTTTACCACCATTCCATCTAGATTCTGACGCCCGTGCATGCACTCCTCCACTCCCGCGCTGGTCTCTCGGCCTCTGTCCCCGTGGATACGCGGTCTCTCTACTCTCCCTGTGGCGCGTGCAGCAGCTGGGCGCCTGGTCTCTCTGCCTCTCTCCCGTGGATACGCGTGCAGCAACAGGTCTCACTGCTCTCTGTTGGGGCGTGTGCAGCAGCTGGTGACTTCACTGGCACACAGGTCACCATGCACTGGCTGCTAGCTCGGCGCCATGACTGACGGCGCTGGCGTCGTGAATCGTGGCGTTGAGCTATGGCCACGTCAGCGCCACATTTGATTTAGATCAGCATAGTTATTAAACCATATATTTAATTCGGACTTTCTACCTCGGCGCCATAAGTAAAATGGTTCAAAATCTGGTTTACGTCGTCCAGAGGGTAATTGTGAATAATTTAAAAAAAAAACTAAATTGTAAAAATTTAGGTACACTATCTTAGGTCCTCTTACTCTTTGAGTGATTTTTGTAATTTCTCATTTTTTTTAAGTTGTAGAGAATATGCAGGGTCGCATTTGATTACATGGACCAAACCATTGCATCATTACAAATGCAGAGCAGCAATAGTAATCCTAACCACAAATTACACAACTGAAACATCAGTGCCATAGATACATCCTTCACATAATGAGGCGTCGTGGTGACTCCAAAGCTTGATGCTTGCATCTTTCGCATTGCCCAGTAAAGTTCTTCAATTCCAACTTTTCATGCTCGGACATATAGCGTGTCAGTTCTTTGATATCTTGGCAAAAATCAAGGAATGATACATGATCCCCATCCTGCTGCAGCACTGCAAATTCTGAGAACATATAACATTTTCTTAGTTTCCATTTCTTGTTCACCATATGGGACAGACAAGTAATATAACATCATTCACACTATTTTCCTCTTAGCTAGATTATCTTTCTAATTGTTGCAGGGCCAGACTAATGGGGTTTATCTACAGAGGGGGAAAGATCACTTACGCCCGGGGCTGCCGAGGCCCATGGTCTGCTCCATCTGTTGAACGTCATGGAAGCTGACGCTGCACTCGCCGCCGTCAACCACGACCATGGCCTGCCTGTGGTACGGGCACAGCCGCTGCGCCTCGCCAAAGGCGCGCGTGATGCAGGCGCCGCAGTCAGGCGACCAGCCCGCGTCCGGGCGCCAGTAGCAGTAGACCGAAGCGGCGACCATGTCGGGGCGTTCGCCGGCATGGTTGCCGGGCGAGCACTTGCAGGAGGACGCGTTCGCCTGGGCGGGCACCGTGGCGGCAAGCGCCCGCAGGTTGGCTTCGTAGGTGCTGTTGGGAGCGTACGTGCCTTGCGAGCCGCACTCGTGGCCGGGCGACGGAGCCACGCGGCGGTAGGCGGTGGTGGCCGCCGCCGCGGCCGCGGCCAGCGCCGGGAGGAGCGCGAGCGCCAGGACGACGGTCGCCGTGCAGGCGCGAGGCATGACGCGGTCTCGTGGAGAAAGACGAGCCGAGCCCTTCTTTTTGACCAAGGACAACGCGTGGTGGGGAGCCTAAGAATCAAGATATGATCGTAGCAGTTGGGACTGTTGACTAAGGTTCATATATTAAGGAGAGTCAACATCTACCAACTGCAAAATATTCTCAGCCACTGAGCATTTAAGCATATTCAAAGGTTCATATATTAAGGAGAGTCAACATCTACCAACTGCAAAATATTCTCAGCCACTGAGCATTTAAGCATATTCACTACTACTCCAAATTGTAAGACGTTTGACTTTTTTGACACCAAGTTTGACCACTCGTCTTATTCAAAAATTTGTGTAAAATATCACTTCTTTCGTCGTGGTTTGGTTTATTAATAAAAATTCTTCAAGAATGACTTAAATTTGACTATATTTGCACAATTTTTTTGAATAAGACGAGTGGTCAAACTTGGGGCCAAAAAAGTCAAACGTCTTACAATTTGGGATGGATGGAGGAGTAGTAGTCAGCACTAATTCATGTTGAACTTGACCATTGGTTGTGGATGTGACGATATTGTTGATTAGGGTAGAATGCATGCAAGGGCTATGATTTGTCCCACGGGCTTGCTAGCGTCCGGACCGCCGGGGTGTCCAGATGCCCGCGCCTGTAGCTATTTCCACGCCGTTTTGCGTGTTCACACGGGGTACACACCACCCGAACGTCACTAGCATCCAGAAAGAGAGGGGGGGCAACGGATGCCTAGCCAGCTCCGGGAGAGGAGGAAACACTGAGGCGAGGCTCAAAAAGCGAGGAGGGAGGTGCAACATCCGATCTACTTCTGAAACATCCAGATGCAACACCTGCAACATACGTATAAAGGCATATGAAACACTTGAAATAAGCGTTTGAAACACTTGTGGGAAATACTTGAAAACACTTTAAAACCATTGCAAACATATGCAACATCTAGATGAAACACTTGCAAACATGCGTATGAAAACACCTGGAACACTTGAAACATATGCTTGTAACATGCATGCATATGCAACATCCAGATATACTTTTGCAACATCCAAATAAAACACTTGCAACATACATCTAGAACAGATGAAATATTTGGAACATACACTCGAAATATACGTGTATAGCCATTACAACATGTGCTACATCCTGATCTACTTTTGCAACATCAATATACAACACTTGCAACATACCTCTAAAACACTTGAAACATACTCTTGCAACATGCGCTTTCAGCGTAGCATCTGCTTGCTGCTTGGATGAATAGAGGCTCGTTGACGCGGAGCTCGATGCCGCGGAGTGGGGGGATACCAGCGGGCAGGTGGCTACGTGGCCCCGGCGGGCCATTCTCGCGCTACTTCCCATGACCGTCCGCGCAGGTGCAGTCAGTGCGTGCGACGAGGCCGCCCGAGCCGTCGCTGGGCCTGCCGCCGCGAACCTCGTCCGCCTCGTCGAGAGCTTTGGGAGCAGGAGTCCCGCCTCTGAACCGAGCTGCTGGAGCACAAGATCCTCAAGGAGACCGTCGCCATCGTGTCGTTTCTCAATATTGATGTCGCGGCTCCAGGCCGAGAACGCGCACCTCCGTGCCGAGCTCGACGCCGCCAGGACCAGCCAACAGCGCGTGGTTGAGTTGGAGAAGGAGGTGGCAGAATCGTTTTCTTTTTTTGGAGGAACTAGGAGTAGACTTCGTATTGGGCTCTGCAAGCTCACAAAGGGCGCGTCCGGAGCGTCGGACGCCCTAAGGAAAGCATCACCGTTTGTCCTAGTAAGTAGCAACCACAATCACACGGTAGTAGGCAGGAAGAGCAAAACTCTTACTCTAGCCACGCTATTTGCACGGCAACCTTGTTAATTTTAACGGTGTAAAATAATTCAAATATTCTCTTACTTAGCAATTAGCATTCCATCAATTTTTCTATGAGTAACATATTCGCATCTCTAAATAAGTTTATTATAAAAATATATGTCACCATTAATCTAATAATATTTATTATGCATCATAAATATTAGTATATTTTTATATATATTTGGTCAAACTTCAAATAAAATTGACTCCTCGAAAATAAGATGTGCTGTTATTTTGAAACAGGGTACAGGTTATTTGCTCGGCTAAGTAGTGCATCGTAGAAAACTCCCGAGTTGAAATAATGCATCATTATTAACTTGACATCTTTTAGTAAAAGAAAAACAAACTGACAAGACATGGTTTACATCCTTCGCAAAAGGAAAATGAACCGAGTTGAATTTGATAAAATAAGGGTCGATGAAATGAGCCGAAAAACTTAAGTTGTTATAAACAAGAGCATAAAATAAGTCATTCACATTTAATGCATATCTACTATTTCCACTGAATTCTATGGAAAACAATACTAGGTTACACAAAAAAAAAATATTGATAAAAGATAACGGTATTGTGATTTTACATGCCGGCACTCTGCTGTACATACTTCTCGCTCCCTCAAACTGCGACTCATCTCAAAAACAAAAAAAGAACACAGCAAGGCAGAGTTGATACAGAAAATTTTCAAGCCTCGGAATCAAACCTGTGTGGACCCTTGAATCAATGAAGGGCACTTGACAAAAACAAAAAAGGAAAAAGCACACCTATGAATTGGAAGAATAAGAGAAACCTAGCAAAACAAATCCAAGCTAGGAAAAAGGGGACCGATCCAGGACAATGTGAAAATTGATGTGTCATTGTAGATGGTGATTGCGTTCTGCAAAATGACGGCAGTTGCCATGGGCTAATCAGATATAGAACAGAACTATTTTCACCAAATGGCCATTTGACCCAAGGATTAAATGAGACATTGGAAGTGTTGATGATCAGGCTAAAAAAGTTGAAGAGCAATTTTTAGCCTGCTCTGCTTCCACTTCGGAAGCTTGCTAAATGCTTCCTTTGTCATCCCAAACTTCTCTTTGAATTCAGTCGAAGATAAGTAGGTCTGCACACCAAATTGAAAATAATGTGACCATTACACTTTTTTTAGAACAAGAGAGTATTGTGAGATCAGGAAATCACCTCTCGCCTCGTGACGTCAATTTCAGTAACAGGATCAGCAGCTGTGGTCTTAAGACGTTCATACGGGTAAATAGGAAGGCCCTCGTCATCTTCTGGCTCGTTTTCTTTTACATCTTCATTTATAGTCAGAGATTCAACTCTAGTGGCCACAGTATCAACACCTTTACCATCTCCCTCCTGTTTTGGCTTCTCTGACTCAGAGCCATCTAATTTGCACAGAATTTTTTACAGAGAAAAAAGTAAGCTACAATAAGTTTTATATTTCTATTTGCAAGAATTTCCGCCAGCACAGTGGTATCACATACCTTTCACGAATTCTGGAGCAGGAGTTTGAGAAGGGTGATCCAAAGAACCAGCCAAAGCGGCAATTGCAGATGACTTAGAAGAAGTATTTGACGAATCAGGTGTAACAGATTTCGGGTAAAGTTTCTTAACTACAGGTGGAGTGGAAAGATTTCTGTTGCTTGAACTTTCAAAATTAGCAGCCAATGCAGTGAATGCTGGAGATCTTCCCCTAACACGGACGCGCTCAGGGCTGAAGGACATGCTTCTGGAGCGTTGGGATTTATCTTGTGTAGTACTCCTTCCTGAATAGACGGTTGTTCGTCGTTCGGTTTCTGAAAACGCATGAGAATCAACTGAGTTCTATCATTTATGTAAATACATGTTCAGCACGAGTTTCTATCATTTATGTAAATATGGTCAGTCATATAACTACAGGAAAATGACATATGCAAACGTACAAAAAAGGGTGGCAGTGTAGAAATATATGTTGCATTGCAAAACATGACTGAAGAAATAACAGGCAATTCTCATAAAAAAAAGGCTTGGTGTTTGCCTGTTTGGTTGATATGAGAAGCAACTATGAACAGTAAAACTTACATATACAGCGAAAGAAACACAAGCATGTGTATCAAAGAACATGGAAAACTACTGGAAATCACACAAAGAAAGGAGAAATTTTGTTGTACTGTAGAAAAATGTTTGCAAGAAATGGAGTTAACAGATATATCGGCATGGACAACTATCGTGATTCATGAAATCATTAGGTTTCGGGAATCTTACATCCAATGCTGGAGCACCTTCACCTTTTACAATGGCAAGCTTCCTCTGGTATGAATTGCCATGCATCTGAAAACAAAAGGGAGAGAATATGGAGTCCAATACTATATCAAAGCATTGATCATGATGTTCTCTCTGTACGGACTTCAAACTGCTCAGATGTTCAAGAATAAACAATTTCAGTGGCTAAGCCTATGACTAATCTACTTACCAGTGATTTCGCCGAGTCCCAGGTGAAGAATCTAGTGAAAAAGGGAGGCTCACTCCCCTCCATAACGGTGAAAATTGGTGTTTCACAGGCAAGGTTTTCCATAAGGAAATCAAGCACAATAAATTTCTGGTGAAAACGTGAAGTAATGAGAGAAGAAAACAAAAAATGGGTTATAACGCAGCTGCGTAGAAAAATAAATTGTTACCTCCCCAACATCCAGAGCTTGTAACCTAACTTTAACATCCACCTGCTGACCAACCCAAACAAATATGCTCGTATGACAGTCCAGAATGAAAACATCTTCTGTCATTAGATCATCTTGAGTAAAGTGGTATATTTCTTTGACCTGCTCAATAGATTTCAAATACAGATTTTAAATGTAAGGTCGCATACAGCAAAAGATACTAAATTACAGTTCTACTGTGCTTACCTTCAAATTGCCTTCATGGACCCCAACAGGTTAGGAACATTAATAGGGAGAACAGCAGAACGAGATCAGTATGTATTTGAACTGTTAAAGTGGATAACTTTCCCAACAAAACTACTCAATCTACATTCTTGATTACCTTTCGACAGGATGCATGAGAAAAGATGGGGATCACTTTCAAGTTCTCGCACCATTTTTTGGCCTGAGTACTCAGATTTGCCTCCCAGTAAGCTCCAAAACTGGTCCGTTTCTGACCCTTCCTTTTGTGACCTAGACTGTGTGTTTGGCTGTACATGGTAGAAAGGAAAAATGAGAAGAAAAACTTATAGACCAATAAAAGGGCATAGCAAAGTATAACAAATACAATAAAAATCTTCTAATAATGACTTGAAAGTATGAACAGTGGAAGTTCAGCCTATGTCAAGCTGAATATTCCTGATGAAATACAAGAAAAGTGACAGGAAGCAACAGCTAGTAGCTCCCATATACCCAGAGGGTCTGGGATTTAACTGACTGACGCCAAAGTCCTCTTTACTGAATTAGTCCATGTCCCATATAAAACCAGCCACTTCAAAACTACAACATTTCTGTAATTTGACTAAGAATAAATAAGACACGTAAATTAGCACTCCTCCATTCCAAATTATAGTTCACTTTAGATTTGTCCTAAGTCAAACTTCTCTAACTTTGACCAAGTTTATAGAAATACAAACGAACTTCGCAACATCAAATTGGTTTCGTTAAATTCTTCATGAAATATGTCTTGATAGTACATTTATTTGGTATTGTAGATAACATATATTTTTTCTAAAACTTGGTCAAAGTTAGAGAACTTTGCCTTATGACAAAACTTAAAAGTTCTATAATTTGGAATGAAGTGATATTTGTGATGGTTTTTACAGAAGCAGTCTGGTGATTTGTGATATCAAAGTTATTTCAGCTGGAGGCTGGACCAATTTCCATAACCACCAGAAGCCAAGCTAGTAATGGCAGGGCCACTACAATCCAGGTAAGGCCTAAAGGGCCTGCTAGATACCATTTTATCCTCCTATCAGGCTCAGATTTTACAGCGCACATTTGTGCAGAGTCCATGTAAACCATCAAATGAGATTATGGTTAAATTTACAGAAAAAAAATCTACAAAGTTTGAATAGTTACATTTCTGCAACAAGATAATCAAATATCTAACTAGGGACGATAGTTCCACACCTTAATAACATCAAGCTGCCTCTCCATTAACTCTTGATCCAATGCAGTGGTCAGATTTCCAGCCCAAGTGAACACAGTGTTTCCATCATGTAGAATGTAACAATATGATGAATTCAATGATGAGGCCACCTAACAATAGATACAGGAGACAGTATATGACTGGTAAGGAAGATGGTATAATAATATAAAATTAATCTGCAGTCAGATAAACCTTCGGGAATAAAATGCCACTTCCACATGAGGGGTTAGGTTTTTATCCCTTTATCTAGGTCGAGGTCGTTCTAATTTTCAATCAAGGACGAGCTATGTAATTTTTTTACTGAGACTGTCTTGGTGTGTGTTATAAGGGTTCTTACTCCTTGTTTCTTCATAATATAATGATGCATAAGTCTCCTGCATATTCAAGGGGAAAAAACTTACAGGTTCAACTTGAATCGCTTGCATGTTTTCTGGTCCTGAACCTTGAATACGAAAGAGTGCAAGCCCATCTTCAGAATAACTTTCATCATCAATACCATTTTCAGCGATGAATCTCTTGTATCCAGAACTAAGACCACCCTACAATTACAATTTGGGATGGTAAAACTGCTGTGTTAACTAGTAACACCAATACAACTGAAGACCATTAAATGCATGTACACCTTAAACACTTGCAAGCTTTGAAATATCACGAAGAACTGAATCGGTTCTTTCCCCTCATAAAAGCGCGCCTGATTACAAAGCAAGGATACATTAGAGAAGACAAAAGGGTTTATATCCAGTTTAACAATTCCACATAAAGAAAATCAGTGAGTTACCTGGACAGCCTGAAACTTAGCAGATTCAACCATCTTGCTTGCAAGTGAAACTGCTATTACCCTATCCTCCTGGATAAGAATTGAAAAAAAAAACCTTTATTGTTCAAGTTGATTTAACAAGATAACTGAAGACTACATAATCAACGAGCATAAGGTTATCCAAAATCTCACTAATATGCACAAACAGCATAGGTAACCTTTTGTTTTTAGTTCACAAACCAAGAACATGAAATCAATGTCAGCTGATACTTCAAACCTTTTCAGTTCTTATTTACGAACTTCAAAGATGACTTAACTAAAATTAGGCAACTACGGTCTAGAAAGTCACAGAGATTGGTACAAGCATCAGCCGGAAACACAAAAATTTCACAACAAAAATGAATTTATGGAAAACACTGTTACCTCAATACTCTTTTTCCCAAACCAGGTTCCAACAAGATATTCCTCCTTATCATCTCCAGGATAAGTATACTGAAATATGTAGCAATCGCCAGTGTAAAATTTGGATTGGTCAGAGGATGAGAGTTGAACCTTGTCTTTATCATTTACACGCCAAACCTATCAAATCGAAGGGGAAAAGTAAGTCAGAACACTGTTAGTTTGCATATATAAGCTAAAAAAATAAAATGAACCACATGGATCAAAAAAATGAATTAAACATTTAGCCTTGCGCACAACTTGGAAGCACACTCCAACTTCCTGTCTCAAAAATGAATTTCTAGCTAGTTAGCTCCCACAGGTTTGTACACCCATGCCAGCACATATGCCCTTTCTGAAACCACTATTTGCAACAATGCTTGTCCAAAAATATTTTCATATGTACAGAATCTTGTAAGGCAACTAAGATAAGAATGTTTGCAGCCTAACATTGAGAAGGGGGAAAGCCAAAAAATGATGAGATACAAAATATGAAGCTAATATAAAAAGTGCAGAAATACCTGCAAGTTGCCAGTGCAATCAATATAGGATTGAGGTTCTTCTTTTGCAGGAGCAGCTTTCATCAAACCCTTAACATTTAAGCCCTGGCGTTTGAGAAGAGCTTCACAAAGAACACAACTGATCAAATTGTGAAGGGTGTAAAGCATTTCATAAATTTTAAAAGCGGAAAACTGAAGCTAGTAAATTTGTAAATAATAACCTGCAACTTTGCCTCTTCCATCCTCCGATGACAACTTCAACTCAGGCGTCTGTGGCCACTCTTTAAATTTTGACTTGAACGTAACAGTCTCAAACCCTTCAATCACTTTGATTATATGTGTTCTTGTTCGGTCTGATTCAGAGAGCAATTTCTACATAGGCAATTAGGCAAATAAATAGTAAACGTCACAGCAACATAGTCAACACAAAGAAGTCACTCTGAAAATATGCAATATTTCTAATTAGCATGAACAAGTAACCAAGCCTCTAAAAAATAGAGGAATATAGATTCAAAGGACAACCTTAAAGGTAAAAACTGAAGGAGCCTATGCCATATTACAAAATCAATGAGCCCATCAGCAAGTGTCAGCAAGACTCGTCAGCATTTTCAATAGTGTACCACTAAGAATACGATGAAATTGCATAAGTAACTAGCTGAACAAATGTTACCTCAGCAGCTTCACTAGCACCCTTTCTCTCCTGCAGGGATGTAATTCTGCCCATCCAAACATACAATTCTGCACCACAGTCTAAGAAGTAACACTTGTTTGTCTCAAGTAATTCATGTGCTAAAGATTGGCAGTCGATAGGCTCCAGCTTTCCTTGGTCAAAACTGAAAAGTAAACATTTCATAGATTACTAATAGATTTCAAGTAGAAACTGTTTTAGTTGGCAATCAAATCAAACAAAAGGAGTTCCCCTATACAGAATAAAAACTCAGTCGATTACCATAGCAATTTGAAAGCAGTTTCCTCATGTTTCTCATTGCCTTCTGCAGGTGCCCTCCTAGGAAGAGGGGCGAAGCCACCAAAAAAAACCCCAGAATTCACCAGCTTCCGCATCAGCCATCATTCTACCATCCTCTAAGAAAAGTGAAAACAGTCATATCTAGAGATTTTAATTTCCAATACCACACAAGGTGCATAGATGCTCACCAACAGATGCAATTTCACACTTCCCCCTCATGAAATGTATCTTTGATGTACTGCACAACTTCAAGAGCTTTTGCTCGCTCTTGGATGGATGAGTTTGAGCCACTGAACTGGAAAATTTTGAACTTCGTATCCAAAATAAATATGTCATCATGACTAAGGGATGATCGAGCAAATGGAACCTGGTTGTAAAATGGCAAGTCTTATTATACGACATGAATATCCATATTTGAATAAAAAAGACAGTCACGCAGATAACTTGCCTCTTTAACATGAACAACATGCTTCCCATGGCAGACATATAAGCAGGTCTTGTGATCTTGCTCATTGACCTCAACATGGTTGAATCCAGATGCCACTCCTCCTGGCTGTGGCATGATGCATGGTCTAAAATAGGACAGGAATTTTTCTGTTTCATTGCCTTGTATTTCTCGGTACTGAACAGCACGCCCGCCAAGAGCAGCATCAAGCTCTACCGTTAAAATCGCAGCAGTTCCAGCTTCATCCTAACATGGACAAAATTGGATTCAATTACCTTTCGAAACAGTATCACCAAATGACATGAGAAATTTACCTGACTAGTATCTTTACCAATCCAGTAATGGATGTCATGGCGAAGAGAACCATTTTTCAAGGCTGTTGTCTGTAAGAAGGGAAAAGATGCGGAAAAAGTTACATGCCCGTGAGCATAATCCAATTGAATCCCCAAGCATACTAAGTCAAATAAAAATAGTGATACCATATGTATGGCAAGAAAAGAGACTAAATGTTGATTAAGGTCTATGAATCATGTGACACACTACCCAAAAACAAAGTAGGATTACAGACTTTACAATAACATGGAACTTTACTGATTGAATGAATCATGTTATAAGAAAATATTTAACTATGCATAGCTCATAACCTCAATAAACCCAGTTTCATGAACTGCAGCTTACTAAACTAATCCTTCTTTAATATGTATCTACCATATCTACTAAGAAAAATCTTCAATTTTAGTGAAGTTTTACAGTAACAATATAATATTCTTGCTGCATTTAATCCCTCTGACAATGGAAATAAGGCCAAGTGTAAAATACAATTGAATCTAGCATATAATTTAAAATTTACAAACAGTAGTTTGCATGCAAGGAATGACTCAGATTATTTTAGCTGGTCCTCCTTGATCTTGTTAATAACATTATATAGCATATATACAATTCCTCTATCATCCATTTTCTTTTGAGTCCACAGAATGTATTACATGTTTACAAAAACACTCAGAATGCATAAAATATCAGAACTCTACAGCGAAGTCCCCATCCATATTTAAATATTCGCAAACTACTTTTATCCCATAGAATAAACTGTGAACACTTCTTTAGCAAATCAAGTCCACAAGTTATTGTAATTTTGTAAGTTCTATTATGGCTATGGTGAGATCTAGGCTGTGGCATAAGAGGAGCTAAAACAACTTTTTCATTCTTTTTAAACCAAAAAACTCACAGGGTCAAAGTCGAATAGAATGAACTGCATTGTGCAATATAAGGATTGAACTGCCAAGATGTTTAGCAAAATGCTAAAGAATTTTGACAAATAACAATTGAAGAACAGATGTAAATTCTAGAAATATATCAACTAAGTGCCTGGGTACCAGTAAAAAGTTTTGGCTGGAAAATAGTTTTTCCTAAATCTAGGAAGCAAACTGAGAACAGGAAGATATCATGCCCTTTGATACCTTCAAGATAATGTAAGAATCACCCATGAAGAACTTTCCATATGAAGAAGCAGGGACAGGAACTGGCTTGAAATTCTCAATACGCCATATTTCCAAGCCGCTGCAAGGTATTAAGGATAACGATAGCCATTCATGGACCTAGACCAAAAGCATAATGGAGTTGTAGAGTAATTTTCAATAGTAAATTTGAGATCAAGGGCATGCTCCATAAATATTTGATGAACTCAACTTTGACAAGCTTTAGTTATTATAATCTCATCCTTCACTGTAATTGCTCAATCTTTACATTAGCTTATTGATATTGCTATTTAGTTATCCAAAAATGCATACACCTTTTCCAGGAAATGAGCACCGATTTCTACTGTGTTAGATTTATAGAACATGCCAAGAGGGCATATCCCAGGAGAGTTCATTTATGTACATGACTACATTACAAATTAGTAATTAATAAATCATGTCAAACAGGTACAGGATGTTTTTTCCTCTACAGCTCCTGTGTGTGATATAAAAATGGTTATCTCATGCTACACCAAAAATAATTTCTTAATTTTCTTGTATGATACCTCACATCATTGCCAAAAATCACTAACCAATAACTAGGGGAGAGGTTAGAGATTTGGCCAGCATGAAGATGACAAACGCTAAAAAAAATAGTCATAACATAATGATGGAACGAAATAAATGAAATCCTAAAAAGGATACTCCTTTTGTCCAGAACCACGGAAAGCTGGGTCCAGGTCCTTCATAGAAACTGACATCCTCAATTCGTAAAGAAGTGTTACCTAATTCTTCTTTCAAATGAGACCTAAAAGGATGCTGCGAACAAGAAACACATGAATAGTAAGCAAATAAACAAACAGATAATCTCCCATCCTGAGAAAACTAAAATAGCCAGTTTTGCCAATGTGGAGTAACACTATCATTACATATAACAACCTATCTGAGCATCCAGATTTTACAAGAATAGCTTCGAGCCTTCGAATGATATTACTGATATGAAAATGAAAGTAACAAAATAGGCACACCATCCATAATATCCTTAACTGTAAGTGACAAAAAATATGAGCACTGACTGTACAAGTTCTCGCTGAATATCTTCTCCTATAGGATCTGCTAGATAACTTGACTCTGCAGCAAAATGTATCAGACTAACACATATGGCGCCTAACTCATTCAGGGTCCTATACTAGTAAGTCAGCTTACAATGTATATTTCCTCAGTGCCATCAAGTTTACACGACGGAAATGTGTCTGGAAATCATGGGCTCCGCTCCGCTGCAAGTTCTTTATTTGGGTGGCAATCAAGAATAGGTTCTGGACTTCAGATCGTTTGGATAAAAGAGGGCTGCCACATCCCACTGCTTGCCCCCTTTGTGATGTCTCATAAAACAGGTTTGGCTGTTCATCCTCGAAAAAATTGGTTTGGCTGCCCCTGATCCTCAACCTGCTGCCACTCGTTTCTACAAGTGGTGGCATGGTGTGGACAGAAGCGTTCCAAAGGACAGAAAGAAAGGGCAGAGTTCCCTTCATCATCCTTGTGGCTTGGGAGATAGGTAAACATCGCAATGCTTGTGTGTTTGAGGGTGCTAGGCCTTGTATTTCGGTAGTGTTAGATGCAGTGGAAAATGAGAGTAGTTTGTCTTGTACGTCAACTCTCCATGAACTACTCATGAGGTCGTTAAGGCTCTATTATAAGTGGTGTGTCTGTAATTAGACATCCGCCGGAGTTGGCCGCTGGCCTCTCTTTATTTTCTCTCTTCTTAATGAAATAACACACAGCTCTCCTGCGTCGTTCGAGAAAAGGAAAACACATTTACCAATCAAGAAACGAGTGTCAATGCACAATAACATGCAACCACACATCTACATTCAGTAAAGATCGCATGTGAAGTTAGGAGCAAGAACTACAATACTGTTTTTTTCTCTCGAATACGCAAGAGAGCTGTGTATCATTGCATTAAGAAAAAAGGATAGTACAACACCCTGTGATATGGCTATAACGAAGTCAAGCAACAGAATAGACATACTATGGAATAATGTCGTTGCCGACAACTTATATAAGATAACTCAGAATCCAGGTAAGATGCAGGATGATATGTGTTTCCATATCAGGAAATGCACGGCAATGTAAATCCATAAGTGGCCCAAGGCTCACGTGCAATGCTGGTCTCGAGTGAACAAAGGGCTAATCTGCTAGATCGCATGCATTGCTGGTCCCAAGTGACCGCAGGACTAATCTGCTATAGCTCAACACAGACAGCCATTCCTTCTCCTGACTCCTATCCCGTCAGCTCGAATTCCAGCTGAGCTCTGAAGAGCTGAAGTGGTAAGGTAAGGTAAGGTAAGGTAAGCATTGCAAACAAGTAATATCGCTCCCAATCGGCTTCAGGACAAGCTAACTGGGCGAGCAGCTCTACACCATCAAGCAAGGGCGGAGCCAGTAAAGGACATGGGATGGACATCCACATGTATGTACACCCAATAATTTTTTGCAAAAAAATCGAAGTTAATAGGCACTTGTAACTAGATCAGATCCGAATACAAATAGCCAACTAGCTTAAGTTAGGGTTCGGGTGCTCAGTTTCGCACGGCAGGAAGGGAGGAGAAGGGGTGCGCGCATACCTGGTGGGTGATGGGTGATCGTCGCCGGCGAAGAACCCCGACGAAGACGGAGCGAAGGGACCGACGAAGACCTGGGCACCTGGCGCAGGGAGGCGGGCGGCGGGCCGTCGGCCGTCGGCGGCGGTAGCCCGGTTGGCGCAGGAGAGAGAGAGAGCGCAAGCGGGGTGAAAGGAAGAAGAAAAGCAGCCGTGAAGGCGGTCCAATGTTTTCTTCTCAGAAGAAGAAGGCTCAAAAAAAGGTGGCTTATATGAAAATTCCTGCTGCTGCAAGGGAATAAAAGCTAAAAATACTACAGGCAAGCTGTGGGTTGGCAAATGATGGACTGAAGCGTGCGTGCCACTAAACAACACCAGCAATTCAGAAAACTGTCTTTTTTTTTTCTTGGATTCTCTTTTTTTTTTAATCATGAGTTCATCACAAACTAATACTGCTTCTGCGTCTCTCATGCCGCACACGCCATTACGTGGAGTCAAAACCTCAAGGCACGGTTGTGGTAGCCAAGATTAATCTGTTCAAGGGTATTGACTTAGAGTATATATAATATAATTATAATTTTGGAGATTTTATTTTATTTTTGTGTTTTGGTATCTGTCTGGAGCAGAATATTTGGGGCAGTGTCCTGTCTCTCTCTTCATTAACACCTTTGACCTCAGTTGATACGAGGGAACAGCACTTAAGTCGTTGTCAATTTTGTCATGTGCTACAACTCAAGCGGCTGTTAAGTACTCTCAGCTGGTTCATTTGGGAGGCATAATTAAAGGGATAAATGCATTGCGGGAGTACTTAGTTCCATCAGAAAAGCTAAGTAGGGCAATGTGTTTTGATTCATCGATCATTTGCTCATCCATCACAAAGACAGCTGGGGACCATAAGACAACCTATCATGTGTGTACTCTACTATGGGATTATGGGCTGGCAAATCTTTTGTGCCCTGGGACCTACCTCCTCACATCTGATGCTTTATTTGTCAAGAAAACCTAGTAAACAGATCTTCAGCCTAAAGAAAGAACAGCTAAGAAAGCCTTATTGGACCTTTTAAGGAAAAAAGGTGTTATATTACATTCATTAAGGTAAGTTGAAAAAAAAAATACTATACTCGCAATGGGTTGTACGTTCACATTAAATAGGTGCCACGTATATTTTTTTTACAACAACAAAATAACGAGTATAGAAGGAAACTTGTATGTTGTAGACATACTTATTACGAACAAAATCAAGCCACTACTTCATAACACCACGTTTGTGCGCACATGTAGAAATGAATCAACAGGAATAGAGTGTCACTGCCGGTTTTGAGCCCATACAGAGGTTCATAGAGGAATATCCTCTGCCAAACTTTTTATAAAAAATAACACCGATAATATTTATGCCAGTTTTGAACAACATTGGCACGAATAATTTTACTATCACTGGCAACATTTAATAAAAGTTAGCAACAGAAGTATATGTGCTAAATAATTAAGGTTGATACGTGACCACAAGTCTTAGATGCTATCACTGTATTCGTTTGGGCTTATTTGCTCAGATTCTGGCTTTTATAATCCACGGCTTCAACAGTATTTTTCTCTCACACCAAAACAGGTCAAAAGATTTTCACCATAGATTATAAGCCGATTCAACCTAAAAACGAACATGTCAGATATCTTTTGACCGGCAAGGGCAGATTTTTTTTCACTAGGTGGCTGGTAACGCTTCATGAAAACAAGATCTTTAAACAACCATCCTTTATATATTCTGCCAATTTTTAAGTCTGGGGCTTAATCAACCAAATAGAGCGGACAAACGACCCATAAAAAGGCAATAGAATCCTCTTTTTTCTAGAGATGGTACACCCTCGTCCTTGAAGAGACAATTGTAACCCACTTTCACATGGTTGTAACACGGATTGCAAATTGTAATTCAACGAATGTACCAAATACAATGTTAGAAATTGAATTGTCATTTAAGATTAAAATTTTACCTAACCAAAGTACCTACTGCTTTCCATTGTTACCCGGACACAATGTTTTTCACTTGAGTCATGCTTTAGTCAAAAGGAGGTGAACATCTTTATCTCTCTAGTATGATTAGTGCAATCACTGTCTAATATCCAACTTGTTCCACTCGAGTAGTCCTATAGAATAAATCATTTGAGGTTAGCCACATAATCTTTGAGAACTCATGTGCTACTTTTGATTATACTTGTCTTCGTGTAGGCCAAAACATACTTGATGCCCACTTTTACCACTTGAATAGGGACGCTCGTGGCGTAGTTGTTTCATCTTCTTGGCCTTGTTGGATTCTTCATTTGACATGCCCATGTTGACTTGTTGTGAGGTCTTGCTCTTGAGTCTTGAGCACGACTTCACTAGGGGTGGTGCCCTTGTCGAATCTGACACAAGAAATGCCATTGATGATATCTCTTCCTTTGATCCTTCCTTCATATTAACTCTACATGCTTTCAATATAAGCATAGATGTTCTCGTTTCAAGAAAAATCCTTCCTTCATATTTGTCGAAACCAACACCATCCATGATGAATGGGTGTCTCAACATCCTAATCTCAATCCTCTTAGCTCTGCCTCACAGTTGCATCCGTTCTTGACAAGCATTTTCATCCTTCGGATCTCCTTGTCCTTCTTTTCTAGCTCATCAAGGTTAGCAACACAAGGATCTATGTCCACCATTGGTTCCTAATTTGTAGTATTAGAGCGGCATCGCATATAATATTAAAAACACATGTATTTTGTTTGACAGAAGCCCAGACCAAACCCAGTGTTGATTTCAGCTCAGAACTGGCTAGGCCCAACAGACGAAATGGGCCTACTGGACCGTACAATTCATTTTTCCTCTCCTCAATATCGCCGGCCACCCACTGACGGACTGACCCACCATCCGCCCGATCATATGGATCACACTGCCGAGCATCTCGACCCCACCGCCCCGACGCCCTCGTCTGCCTCCTCCCCGGCCGCCGTCGCCGGGGTAAATGCGTGGTTGGCCTCCCTCGCCGCGGAGGCCGGGAGCGCGGGCGGGGCGGGAGGGCGAGACAGCAGAGGAGATGCGGCCTCGGAGCTTTCGCTGGGGCCCGACTCCACACCGCGCGGGGTGGCCTACCTCCGCACGCTGGCCGCGGCGTCGCAGGCGCGGTCCCGCGCCGCCGGAATAGCGGCTGCGGGGCTGGGCGCGCAGGCGGCAGAGTATCGCGCCGAGGCGGCGCGGTTGCGGGAGGCTAGAGCGGGCGGGGCTCGCGAGGGACGCGCTCCCACCAACCGCAGCTGCGGCGGCGCGCGCTGTCGCAGCCGTTGCCAACCTTCTCGCCATCCGTGACACCGACATGAGCAGGTGACTCGTTTCGCTAGGGTTCCACGAGTATCGAATTATCGACACTGATATGGAAGATTCATCGATTCATGCAATGCCAGTGATAAAATTCCAAACCCTGAACATGTGTACCCATCAGAATTGAGAAGTAAAGATCTCTCAATTATTGCGTCTGAGATATAAAAGACTTAAACCATGGCTTAACTGGAGGTACTCTGCTGTTTTTGCATTTGTGTTTGGTTTGGATTCACACTAAATTGAGGCTAAATTAACACTGCCTCATGCAACTCGAAGCAAAGATCTAGATAGGCAAGCCTGTGAAATTATGTCCTCAATGTTGTTGTATACAATAAATTTCTCTGAGTGTCACATCTTACGTATGTATTGGATCTGATTTTGTAACTTCGTCATCAACTCTAAGGAAGCTGGTGAATAGATATTTGTGACTTTTTGGTCTTTGGGTGCTGTAGGGACTGTTATAATTATTCTTTTTTTTGTTTGATATTTTGTTTGACTAGGTTTTTTTGTTGTTGTTGTCATGCAGCTTTGTGGTGGCAGTGCAGACTTGTCTATGAGGCGAGCAGAGGCGGAGGAGAAGAGGGACAAAGTGCATAAGGAGTCAAATACACTACTTGATTACACGCGGAAGGCCATAAACAAGCATACTGAGCTGAAGAAGTGAGCGGAAAACTGTCATTTCCCAGTTGTTTCAAGGAGTGTTCATTAGTCACCAATCATTTTCACCTAGATTTCTGTGTCAAACGTGATAAGTACTTGTGCTGTTTCTAGGATGCTGGAGAAATTTAAAAATGGTGTGGAGAAGCGACAGGCTGAGCAAATGACGGGTTGGCAGACAAAGCTTGTTATGATGGACTCAAAGGAACGGCAGTATATCCTCCAAGTCTCAAATTATAAGGTGACTAGCATTTGTATGATTCAAATATGGAGTTGGCTTCAGTCTGTGCTTCCAGTAATCCAGGTCTTGATTTTTGACCTGCTAGGTGGGGACACCAATCCCTAAACTAACTTGTGCTGATACTTTTCATCACTAGAGAATCCTATGCCTTTTAGCTAGAAACTGTCAACTATTGCAAGAATCTAGTAAGTTATCAATTCCATGTAGTAGTTAATTGGGTATGATAATACTGATATATGATTGTTAAGTTGAATGTGCAACATCTGAATCATCTTAGTCAGGCTGTTTCTGTATTTGAAGAAGCCCTTGATAGACTTACCTCAGCTGTTATGCAATTATGTAGCTAGCCTTTCTGATTGAACTTTGCATTCAGTAAGTGGTTTTAGTTCAGGTCTGCTTTCACTGGATTTCTTTCCTTATTAGTAGGATGGAACCTCTCATAAGTTTTCTGTGAGCTGAAGCACTATGTAACTGATAGCTCAATAATTCCTGGCGCTATGAGCAATTGAGTATATGCTAAGCTGTAAGCCTGTAAGCTACCTGCAGCCTTTTCATGTAGATATGAGAATCTAGAGATGTACTCCGTATATCTTTGACTGGATTGCTGGACATGGGAATGAATATAATGTGTATCATGTGAAGCTTTGAACCGATGATGCACACTTATGTTCCTCCATTACCTGTTTTAATACTGTGATGGATAGCTAGCGATGAATGAAGTAATCTGATCGTGAAGTGAAATAATCTGACATCAAAGTCTGATACTGTTACTCCAAAAAGGTGTTACTGCAATTTAGAGCTGTTTTGGTATTCTCTTTTCATTGTTTCCACAGTGGTTCAAGATATTTGTCCCTTTGAAGGTCAAGTTTGTGTGCTATTTCATTACATGTTTTTGTCTGATTATTAGGAAAACTACGATGCCTTTTAGACTTGTTGTCTTCTTATCTTGTATCAGGCAATGCTTAACCGAGTGGCTTATACGCCAGAGATCAATCATGGCGTGTTAATGGAAATGGCTGAGTATGAGAAGGATCTTGAGAGGAGGACAAAACCCATTGCTGATACATTAAGAAGCTACCAGGATTTACCTCCTGTATGCCCTTTGTCTTTTTTTCTGTTAGGTCCCAGGTTCGAGTCGTGGTCTCCTCGCATTGCACAGGCGAGGGTAAGGCTTGCCACTGACACCCTTCCCCAGACCCCGCACAGTGCGGGAGCTCTCTGCACTGGGTATGCCATTTTTTTTTGTTTTCTGATGGAATCCGTTGCTAATTCTTGTGTACTTTGTTGTAATCAGGATAAAGCTCTGGCTGCGCTAGCTATAGAGGACAAAAGGAGGCAGTATGCAGCTGCCGAGAAGTACCTAGAAGACGTGTTGCAATCTGCTTTAACCACAACTGGCCTATAATGTGCATAGTTTTGTTTTGCGTATCTGATTTACAAAGAGTGCCACATTATCTAGAGGGGTTTGGGCTGATTATGAAACAATTTCATTTCGCGGTTTCATAGGGTAGCCACAATATTTAATTGCAATGTACGGGATTAGATGAAATGAAACCCTCTAGCGGTCAGCCTTCAATGCTAGTTTCAACATGTTTCATAGTTTGTGTTAGTATTAACTTATGTGTATCACGAGTTAATATAAAGCTCTCTTTCTATAAGAAAAATAGACAAATGTCATGCTGAAAAATTGTCATGACAAATTTGTTTATAAAATTATGAAGAAAAAAAATCTACTGAAAAGTTATCTTACGAAGTTGTGATGATAAATTTTGTCAAGCAAAATGGTACATATAAAACTGTGAGTACTATAGTTTTCCAAAACGAAAAGTTACAAAGTATTTTCCAAACAGAAAAAAGTCGCGAAATGACCAAATGCTTTGGCTGGTTTCTTATCCGATGAACGTTCGTGGATTAGTAGGTCCGCTTCCGCTTGTTACCTGCGACATTGCGTGGCCACTGGCCAGTCAGTCCAGTGCAAGCCAACTGAAGGAGCCCGATACGGAAAGGCAAGAGCCCCTTTTGAGTTTTGAATGAACCCTGCCGCCCATATCACCAACCTTTCGCCGTCAAAGCAGCACGGCAACTTGTCCCTAATCAATAATTCCAGCATTTATCTGTACAGCGGAGCACCAATCCACACGTAAACGATAGTCATGTGACCCGTCACGGTCTCAAAGCGACAGCTCTTCTCGTCTCACGCTCTCAGCCGACAACGGCCAGCCGATCGTCAGCTCATTCACACAGCATGTACATGCAGCTTGAGGGAGACCCATCGAGCATCAAAAAACGTCTCCGCGAATTAAATCACCTGCCCTCGTGGATGGAGGTGATGGTGAGGTCGTTGGTGCTGCACGACGTGGTGCACTGCGTCCGCGTCCGCGTCCGCAGCCCCGACCCGCCGTCGTCGTCGCTGCTGCTGGTCGCCGCCGTCGCCACCCTGAGGGAGAAGTGTGGCGGCCGCTTCGGGTCCGGAGAGGTCCGGTGGCCTGCAGCATCGTCGTCACGTCCGCCATGGTCGGCCGGTCCGCGGCGCTGTCCTGCACGCACAGCAGCGCCACCTTGACGCACCGCACGATGGTCGCCACGTCGCCGCACTCGCCCAGCGTCGGGTCGATCAGCTCGAACACCCTCCCTCCCTCCACAGCTGCCATGCCTGTGACAGTTCGTCAATTTGCAATTAAGCACGGCACTGCAGTTCTTATGACACATGGCTATACATTGCAAGTTGCAGCCTTGCTGCTGTCGATGTGAATGAGTTGACCAAATAGCAGGCAACGGATGACAACTCACATATCCGAGCAGGTTGACGAAGTCGCCGTAGTGGTGGTGGTGGCCGCTGTTCCGCTTCCCGCTGACGATCTCCAGCAGCAGCACGCCGAAGCTGTACACGTCGGACTTCACCGAGAAGATGCCCTCCGAAGCATACTCAGGAGCCATGTAGCCACTAATAAAGAAACGCCATTAGCGACTGCAAAGCTTTCCAGCAGCAACACAAAATAGCAACAACGGATGTCAGTTAAAACTTACTATGTTCCGACGACCCTGTTGGTGTTAGCTTCGGTCATGTTGGATCCGAAGATCCTGGCCATGCCGAAGTCCGAGATCTTGGGGTTCAGGTCCTTGTCCAGCAGAATGTTGCTCGCCTTCAGGTCCCGGTGGATGATCCTCACCCGTGAGTGCTTGTGCAGGTAGAGCAGCCCCTGCACGATGCCGTCGATGATACGCCGCCGTTTCTCCCAGTCCAGCAACGGCCCCCGCTGCTGGTCGAAGATGAAGAAGTTGAGGCTGCGGTTGGGCATGTACTCGTAGGCGAGCAGCTTCTCCTCCTCCTGCACGCAGCAGCCGACGAGCCGCACCAGGTTGGTGTGCTGCAGCTTGGCGATCAGCTGGATCTCGTTCTTGAACTCCTCCAGCCCCTGCCCGGAATGCGCTGCCAGTCTCTTCACCGCGACCTCGGCACCGTCCGCCATCTTCCCCTGCAGCCGAATCGATCAGAGTCAGTCATGGCTAGCTGTGCACACGTCAAGCACTGTAGAACCTGAAAATAATGAAACGTCAGCTCGCCTTGTAGACGGGGCCGAAGCCGCCCCTGCCGAGCAGGTTCTCGTCGGAGAAACCGCCGGTCGCGGCCGCCAGCTCGGGGAAGTCGTACAGCGTGAACTCGGAGCTGCTCTCCTCGATCCGCCACAGCTTCAGCGCATCCTCTGTGGCGGAGCTGTTCCGGGATTGCGCCTCCAGCTGCGGCTTCCTCTTCTTCTCTGCATTGAGTTTTTTTCTTCTTCCAGTTAGTCATGGAGTTCTCTATCCAAGATTTCTGCCCCCAATGCGACGATTTGGCAGCGGTCGGCGTCTGCTTACCGGTTCTTTTCGTCGTGCTCTGATCATCACAAGGCCGACAGAAACCATAGCAGAGAACACCGTGATTGATACAACGAGAGCGACAATTAAGACCACCTTGTGATTGCTTTCTACATCGTTTACATAGAAAAAATGAACAATAGTAACAGACCATGCTTTTGCTACTGTATGTTGCAAATGATCAAAAGGGGGAAAATGAAAATGCGTGTTTACCCTGGCTTTCCGGAGCTGATGAAGATGATGGGTCGCTCTTCAGGCCGATCCTGACCTCCGGCATGCCTTGGAAGAAATGGTACGCCTCGTAGCGGAAGCTGCAGCGGACGCCGAGGATGCGTCCGCCCTCGCGTCCGTCGTACCAGCGGCGGTTCTGGTCCTGGAGCACCTGGAAGCAGTCCCAGCACTGCGCCCGCGAGAGGTCCGGCGTGCACTGCACGAACCCGTACACCGTGGGCAGCTGCGGGTTCACGTACATGGCGGCGCTCGCGAACATGCGCGCCGCCGAGGAGTTGTAGGCGGCGTACATGGCCATCTCCGAGAACAGCGTGCCCACCAGCGACAGGAACAGCGTCCGGCTCGTCGCGTTCCGGGCGTCCCACCCGTAGTAGGTCGACCCGTTCACGTCCAGCGCGTTGATCACGGGGGAGTTGTCGTCGGGACGCGCCAGGAAGTCCCCGCCGGAGTACCGCGCCGTGCACAGGTCGGCGTAGAACGTGGCGTCGCGGTCACCGCCGCAGAGGCGGCGCAGCCGGGCGAACGCGTCCGCGAGGCACGCCGAGCAGACCCGCGGGTCCGCGACGTCGCCGCGGCAGAGCGCCAGGCCGTACGCCGTGTCCGCCGGGGCCGCGCCGACGGACGCCGAGGCGAAGAGCGACGCGGAGGAGGAGGCGTTGCCAGGCAGCGCCGCGACGAGGCGGGCCAGGTTGGCGGCGAACGCGCTGCCGGACGTGAAGTTGCCCGTGGTACCGTTGCACGAGTACTCCGAGTACGCGGCGGCGCGGGGCACGAGCGCGAGCGACAGGGAGGAGGACACGAGGACGAGGAAGAGGCAGGGGAGAGGGCCCATGTCGAGCTCGCTCGTCCTGCACTGCACTGGCTGCGAACGAACGCAAGACAAGAGATGATCGATGAGTGGCAGTGTCCATTTGATGCTTATCAGGTGCCAAGTCAAAAAGGCTTGGTGGAAGGTGGTTGGGTTGACGGCTCGATCCAGCACGACATAATAGAATTTGTGCTCTCATCTTTGATTTGCAGCCCGCATCCGAGGTGGATAGATAATTGCCTTGTGCCCTTGTCGCGTTGACAAATTTGGTTTCTCTGTCCGACCACATTGATAAGAAAACGAAAGATTATATATCTGCTTTGTGATAAATCACCACAAATTTAAATGTTTCTTTCGATTAATGTGGTAGTTTTTTAGATTTTCTCCGTGAATGTTGTCCTTTTTTATCGGAATATAATAATAAGATAACAGATAGAAGATTTGGTTGTCTGATCAGATGGACAGAACAGACGAAATGGAAATAAATAAATAAACCTCCCATTTTGAACATAACTATGTAAGTACACTCGTCACTCGTATCACAGTGGTCATTCGCGGTTTGATATGACCGGTGGAAACGTTGAACGGTTCCGAGTAGTCCCCCCACGTGCAAAGGTAGAGAAGAAGAAAGAGCCGTGGAAAAAAGACATTTCACCGTTCTTCTATCTTCTCTAAGTGGGAAATGAATATTTTAATAGGAGTGGTGTTTTTTAGCAAATTTGCTATAAACTAGAGTATCCACCAGCTAATTGGACTTTTTTTTAAGTATCCGCTAGCAATGTGATTTCACTTTTAGTATCATGTAGCAAATGTTGCCTATAACATCTATCTCTTCATGCAAGCTATTCAAGTCAGCGTGCTACGTAATCCACTACCATGTATTTAGTTGTGCACCTCAGCATGCCACACCATCTACTAAGTTCATCCATTCATACATGTAAATATAAGTCATCTAGTTTTATTACAAATCATCCGTGATCCCCGTGTACAATCTGGTTGCACCCATCGTGAATGTCAACTTACAAGTTGGTACAGACTTGGTGACTTGGGCATTGAAAAAATGGTTTCTTCCGTGTAAATTTCATATACCGTGTTCTGGTCAGTGATGGTATGGTATTAAGGTCACGTAGGAAATCAAAATTAGCATGCTCAGGAGTATAATCCAAATTCCTCTCTTGACGGGAGAAAAAAGTCAGATGATACTTTCCATCATCTGTATAAAAAAAATCCTTTTACATATATAATGTAAGGACTAAGGACAAAAATGTATATATTGGGGTATGCTTTGACCAAGTGCATATTTTTGAACGCGGGAGTGTCCAGTCGAAATGCTTAATGCGACCACGTTAAACTTGATCGTTCACGGTTCACATACGTAAGTAAAATCCCGTAGACAGAACAAAAAAAAAGTTGCAAGAACGCCATTGTTTTGATCCGTTAATTAAGCTGACAGCTGACAGGGTTGTAAATTCATGGCATCATGGCATGAGATTGTGAAACAGAGCATGAACAGCGGGTATCAGTTAGCTGTAGGTATCAGCAATGAAAGCTGCACATGCCGGTAATCTCGTACCACTCTGGCAGGCCCTCTAGCTCTGGTGCTGTCATCTTCTACGAGCTGCGAACTGCCACGCAGGTTTCTTCCGATCCGGGCAAAGGCCGGACGTCTGAACGCCGACGAGCATTGCATGCGAATTTGGAGTTTTGAACCCCTTTCACGATCATGCGGTGCAGGCTAGTACACGCTCGCTCGTACTGTAGTCATTAGACGTTAGACAAAGAAAAGTGAAAACTCGTCGGGTTGTACGACAGTGTCGGATGACTATAGATGTCTACACAGCCCGTAGTCCGATGGCCCGGCCCAAAGCATGTTTTTTTTTTTGCCCGACCCAAACACGACATGGTGCCTAGGGCCATGCCTGAGCTGCACCCCAGGCACGCCGGACGGCCCGGCATGGCCCGACATTTAGAGGCCGGCCCGGTGGTGGCCTGGTGCCTGGTGTGGCCTGCTAAAATTCCCCACGCCCTCAGCCTAGCCCAACGCGCAACCACTCCCCACATCAGTGCTAAAATTCCCCTCCCGTCCTACGCCACACTCGCCAAGTCGCCAGTCGCCTGGCTCCCCTTCTTCCACACGCAGAGCCGCAGACGCGCTGCAGTCGTGACTCGTGCCCGTCGCTCGCTCCCCAGTCCCCACCAGCAGGCAGCAGCCCCCCCCACACACACATGGTACCCTCTCCGAGCTTGGGCAAGCGCTGCGCCTTCTCCTCCTTCCTCGAACCCGACTCCACCAGACTCGATGTCGGCGGGTGAGCGCGGCTTTGTCTCCACCAGATCCAGCGGCATGGGAGCAGAGCGCGACGGCGGCTCCCCTCCAGCCTCGCCGAGCACGTGGATGTCACGCCTGGCTGCGGCCGCGTGGAGGCACCGCGATGGAGGCTCTCCCTCTCCGACTCCGTCTACGGCCGCGGCCTCCTCCGATGTCGATGTTGTGCATCGGGTGCTCCCTCGTGGGCCTCGGGCCTCCCGGCACGCTGGATTTACCGTGCTTCTCAGGCTGGACCGGCCCGAAAAACGGCCCAGCAGGCTGTGCCTGGGCCGAAGGCTAGGCCCGTGGCCCTATGAGACACGACCCGGGAGGCGCGACGTGCCGTGCCTGGCACGAGCCCGTGCCGGGCCAGGCCGGGCCAGCCCGATGGCCATCTATACGGATGACGCTATATGACGGTCCATGTGGGCTAATTTACCAGATAAGGCCCTGTTCTGCAGCACTACTTCAGCAGTACTTTTCAACGAACGAACAATGCTTTTTCTCTCATAATAAATCAGCATAAGCATTAATATAAGCCGTGACGTGACTCGGTGGCTCGTACTAGTGTTCACATAACTACAGACTATGGTACTCTCTAGCTGTCCGATACATGCGGATCTATAGAGAAATAAGTCAGGAGAAACTTTTCTCGTTATCTTTCATATCTAGCTTCTCCTTTCAAGTGTCAATGAGTACCAATTTGTAGGAACAAACTTAGGAGAGGAGGGGTCCATTCAAGTTTGAAAATATTCAATTTCAATCAACTTGACGAGCCAATTAGCATGTTTCTAAAAAAAATGGAAAGTATCATCTGGAAATTTAGTTTCCAAATGGATGGAGCATGTTCTTTCAGTGATATAAACGTGATGTTTTTCCTATATAAATTTAGTTAGTTTTTTTTAAAAAAAAACTGACTAATTGTGTCCTAAACACCTAAAATTGCAAAAAAAAAAAATGGCACAGAGTAGTATAATTGAAATAGTAGATTTAGATAATTTCCCGTGTGCCATGGAATGCTATAGAAATTCATGGCAAGCCACTAGAAAACTTTGTCCCACGCTGTATATGCCAACGCAATATTTTCTTTTTCTCTCAGCGCCACTGCCGTTAGAAGTTGTTGAAACGGCCTGGAAGTTTAGTTTTCATAGGAGATATATATTATAATATGAACAATCCATCTTGGTTCACAAAGCCCATATAAAAGCGTCACTTTGATGGGTTAGTTCGCCATTGTCATTTTAGCTCCAACTATTTTCCTTATTGCCCTTCTAAATGAATCATTTAATTGGGTTAGAAACTGATAGCCAGCATAATTTTAATTTGAATGTAATAAAGATGTACTCCCTCCATTCTAAATTATAAGTCATTCCAAGTTTTTTTAGAGTCAATTTCCTAGAAAAACTTTCTTTGAGAGTCAAAACATATAAAATTTGACCAAATTTATATGATTAGATAATAACATTAATGATACCAACTAAGTATTTAGATTCTTCGTTAATTATGTTTTTATAGTATACATATTTAATGTCATAAATCTTTGTAATTATCTCTATAATTTTAATCAGACTTGAGATGTTTTGCTTCTCCGTAAAAATTGGAATAACTTATGATAGTCATGGCTTGTACTGTCTACTACGACTCCTTTCTACTACTCATCGGACGATGAGCTATCAAAATAACAGCTCCGCTCGGCTGTGATCGTGGTAGCTGCGGCTGCAGCCACTTGCAGCAATGGGTACCAATCAGGCTGAACACTAACTCATTTTTTGTGCTTAAGCATCACAAAATTGGTACCACTGTCCACGTTTTTGTGTGTGTGTGTTGTTGTTGGGGGGTACATGTTTTGTGCTTAAGCATCACAAAATTGGTACCACTGTCCACGTTTTTGTGTGTGTGTGTTGTTGTTGGTGGGGGGGGTGTTACATGGAGTACTACTCAACGTTACACTACTAACTATTCGTTAGTAGTAGCACGGTAGTAGTGTATAATGGTACTTTTCGTGCTAGCAGCCATGGCACCATTAAAGTTTTAAAATCTATGTTTTAGCTAGCTAAAAGTTCTCCTAGCTCAACTATAGCTAAGGTGTCTGAATTCTCCAGCCAGTAGACTCAGACAAACTTTAACGAGTCTTTTAGCTAGACCATCCTAGCACTAGCAGCTCAATTTAGACAGTTAAAGTTTAGTTGAGGATCCAAACATTTCTTTGATCTCTCTATTCTTCTTTCACGCCTGATTTGACTTCTCCTACCAAAAATTCATTTTTCATCTCCTCTCAAACATAGCACCACGTCAGACTGACATCACTTTCAAACCAAAAAAAAATCACACAATATGTTAGCTATGCCAAAGAAAAATCAGACTATTTTTCTTAAAAAAATGTAGAAATAAACTTTTTAAAAAATATTCAAATAATTTTATAAAAACATGCAAATAAAAATCTTAAAGTCTGATTTAATCTTAGAAAATTTGTTTTACCTTTGAGAAAATATGAAACTATTTTTTTCTATAATCATGCTCTATATTAACTCCGCCTATGTTGTCTCAACATAGCAGGTCCCAAGCACTGGTAAAGGAGGAGGGTTGTGATAGGCGTGGCGAACCAACGTTAAATTTAGCCATTCTAATGGAGATGAAACCCAAAAGAAAACCGTTGGGGCGTAACCCTCTTAGCGACGCGCCATATCGGAACCCGGGTATGGTGTTAACTGAGCAA